TACATTTCCAACATTTATCTGAACAATTTTCATTCTGCTTAGCAAGTTTATCTGGTGTAATATACCATCTATAAAACATCTTATACATATTTTCTTATATGATACTGCCTCAGTCATTGTAATGTTTTTAGACCATATCTGGTCCCACTCTCTCCAAGTAATGTTATGACCTACGTTTTGGGCCCATAGAATCATATTTTGCTTGACATTGAGGTCCTTCTTGTATAGTTCTTCTGTGTATTCTTGCCATCTCTTCCTAATCTCTTCTGCTTCTGTTAGGTCCCTACAGTTTTTGTCCTTTATCATGGCCAGCTTTGCATGAAACGTTCCCTTGATTTCTCCAATTTTCTTGAAGAGATCTCTAGTCATTCCCATTCTATTGTTTTCCTCTATTACTTTGCATTGTTCATTCAGGAAGGCCTCCTTATCTCTCCTTGCTGTTCTCTGGAAATCTGCATTCAGTTGGGTAAATCTTTCCTTTTCACCTTTGCCTTTCGCTTTCCTTCTTTCATTTGCTATTTGTAAAGCCTTATCAGACAGCCACTTTGCTTTCTTGCATTTCTTTTTCTTTGGGATGGTGCTGATTGCTGCCTTCTGTACAATGTCACAAACCTCCGTCCATAGTTCGTCAGGCACTCCGTCTATCAAATCTAGTCCCTTAAACCTATTCTTCACCTCCACTGTATATTCATCAGGGATGTGATCTAGGTCAAACCTGAATGGCCTAGTGGTTTTCCCAACTTTCTTCAGTTTAAGTCGAATTTTGCAATGAGTAGCTCATGATCTGAGCCACAGTCAGATCCAGGTCTTGTTTTTACTGACTGTATAGAGCTTCTCCATCTTTGACTGCAAATGGTATAATCAATCTGATTTTAGTGTTGCCCATCTGGTGACGTCCATGTGTAGAGTTGCCTCTTTGGTTGTTGGAAGAGGGTGTTCGCTATGACCAGTATGTTCTCTTGACAAAACTTTGTTAGCCTTTGCCTGGCTTCATTTTGTTCTCCAAGGCCAAACTAGTCCGTTATTCCAATAACCATTTGACTTCCTATTTTAGCATTCCAGTCCCTTATGATGATAAGGACATCTTTTTTGGTGTTAGTTCCAGGAGGTGTTGTAGGTCTTCATAGAACCGGTCTACTTCAACCTCTTCTGCATTAATGGTTGGGGCATAGACTTGGATTACTGTGATGTTGAATGGTTTGCCTTGGATTCGGACCAAGATCATTCTGTCATTTTTGAGATTGTATCCCATTACTGCCTTTTTCACTCTCTTGTTGACTGTAAAGGCCACACCATTATTTCTATGGGATTCTTGGCTACAGTAGTAGATATAATGGTCTTCTGAGTTAAATTCGCCCATTCCTGTCCACTTTAGTTCACTGATTCCCAAGATGTTGATTGCCATCTCATTTTTGATCACGTCAAGCTTACCTTAATTCATAGATCTGACATTCCAGGTTCCTATGCAGTATTGTTCCTTGCCGCATCGGACTTTGCTTTCACCAACAGAAACATCCACAGCTGAGCGTCCTTTCAGCTTTGACCCAGCCACTTTTTTCTTTCTGGGGTTACTTATACTTGCCCTCTGCTCCTCCCCAGTAGCATATTGGACACCTTCCAACCTGAGGGGCTCATCTTCCGGTGTCATATCTTTTAGCCTTTTGTTACTGTCCATGGGTTTTCTTGGCAAAGATACTGGAGTGGGTTGCCATTTCCTTCTCCAGTGGATCACACTTGGTCTGAGTTCTCTGCTGTGGCCTGTCTGTCCTGGGTGGCCCTCCACGGCATAGCCCACAGCCTCATTGAACCATGCCAGCCCCCTCACCACACCAAGGCAGTGATCCATGAGAGAGCCAGTGCCTTTACCAGCTGTGTATAAGAGTACAGCTTCTCCTGGGAGAAGGCGGTGGGAAAAAACTACACTTCTTCCTTCTGTATGGCTAAATAAAGGTCAGGGCTCCTGTCCTGTGAGTTAGGCTATCACAGCCCCATGAGAAGGCAGCACCATGACGAAGGGAAACTGCAAGATATGACCTTATTTGAAAACTATGAGAAACAGAAGTCTGGATTGGCTTGCAAAAGGGGTTGTTGTTGTTGTTCAGTCGCACAGTCGAGTCCGACTCTTTGCTAACGATGAACACCTCCATTGGTGGCAAGTTGGAATCATGGGAAGCTAAACGGAAATTACCTGCTATGCCAGGTGAATTGAGGATGGAGGTAAATAAGGAGTTTTGTGGCACATAAAGCAATTGTGGAGGCCTTTTTACCTTTCAAAGTGTGAATCTTTTTATCTTGGTAGCTGAAAACAGCTGTGGGGAAGGGTCGTGCGTTCATTCGCTATTGCCTGGTCCATCAGCAGCTGGCTGAGACATTGCAGCTTTGCTTCTTGGAGCCAAAGGTCACCAGGTAAAGAGTGCTTTAAGCAGCGGGGTAGGGAGAGGAAGTACTTTAGCTGAAACAGACCAAGCCAGAGAACACCGCAAGTCTAGAATCATGGTGTACAGTGGAACAGTGGGGGGGGGGAATGGTTTGAGGAATGAAAACCTGGAGAAATCCTTCATCCTGAGAAGTGAAGGGCATGATTTCATCCAAAAGTAATAGCAATAGAATCCCAATGCTTGCTCTCTGATGGAGGAATCACGAAGTAGAGGCAGAAGCAGGCACATCTACTGAGCAAAAAGACAGCTTGTGGGGTGTTCTGAGTCTGTGGGCCAAAGTAGTTGTGACACTGTCCTGGTGTCTATTGTGTGGATGCTGCTTCTATGTTAAATGGATTTTAAAACTCAACTGAGGCCCCAGTCACACGGAGAATTTGCTGCACGAAAGGCACAAATGTCAGCCGGATTTTTGGGGTGCGATCACGCCGCAACATCTGGGAAGCGTAGCGCACCCGTGGCCAACCCATGGCATCCCGCCAAAGATGCGGAGTTAAAAAGTACCACGGAAAGAGCACTAGTATCCGGAAAATGCGCGGCACAGGCAGGCGACTGATCATGGGAGCGCTAGTATCCCGTGGCATCCGGTGCCTGTCCACGTCCTGTCGCAAGCTGGATGTTTTTCGTAAGCGCATGCGCACAAACTTGAAACTGAAAGCAGTGCTGCTCCGCGGAACTGCGCATACGCACAAACGCGAAACGCTTGTGTGATCACGCCGTGCTTCTTCTTTGCCACGCTGCAGCATCGCCGTGTGATCGCCAGCTAACAGCTGCAGCACGGAGACTCAGAGGACCGTGTGATTGGGCTACCACGCTTTATTTTGCTCCGGGGCGAACAGCCACACCTCCTCCCCCCCCGGCGTTTTCTGGCCCGTGTGACAGGGGCCTGAGCCCGCAAAACAGTGTTGAGGTTCTCTTTTCTTCCCCACACACCTTTTCATGTACTGAAACAGTCTTGACACTTGAAAATGTGGGGGAGGGCACACGAGCCCCTCAGCCCCCGTGCTGGAGGCCCTTGGGGAATTTTAACATCTTTTTAAAATGGCAGTGGTGTTCCTGCGGTGGACACAAGGTCATTGTTATATCTAGTTTGGCCCTGAGCTAGGAGGTGTTAGGCCATTTCCTAGCACAGTGCCAAGAGCTAGACTGTGTCAGAGACAAGGAAACCTATACTTGGAACCCACACAAACTGTTCCGATGCCCACACCCACATATTCTGAAGTCTCCCAGCCTAGTGCTGCCAACTTACCTTCCTCCCTGTCTCTGCAGCCTTTCAACAAGGTAGCTAACTTTTCCGGGGGGGGGGGAATGGAAGTTCCTTGCCTTGCCTAACGTATAAGGGGTGTTGGGGTACTGCTGCCCCTATAATCTGCAGAGTCTAGCTAGGACAGTGTTTTCACTGCAAGGAGGAGAGTACATAGTGAATTAGCACAACAATATCCCTGTAGCTTCAAGCTGCCCAGCAAGGCAGGTAAGCCCTAGTCAGCAACATCTATGTGGATCTAAGCCAATGGCATGTATGGAGGTGAATCTTACTGGGGGGTTTAGAATCACTTCCATTTTGCTTGTTGCAGTGAGTGGTACTATGCGCGCAGCCCCTTCCTGGACCAAGAGCTGTGGCTGGACATCTTGGGCTCTCTCTATGAGCTGGATGCCATTGCCTTCCATCTGGCACTCTGCAGAGCAGACCTGGATGCTACATGGCCTGTGGTCTTAAGGTAAGCATCAGGAAGAAAAACTTTCCCCCAAATCTGAGGGAGGGCAGTTTAAATTACAGCTTCTTCATACAGACATCTTTAAGAGCAGGTTACTACAAGGAGCCAGTTTGGTGTAGTGGTTAAGTGCGCGGACTCTAATCTAGGAGAGCCGGGTTTGATTCCCCACTTCTCCACTGGCACCTGGCTGGATGACCTTGGGCAAGCCATAGTTCTGGCACAGCTGTTCTTGAAAAAAAGAGCAGTTTCTGTCAGAGCTCTCTCAGTCCCACCTACCTCACAGGGTGTCTGTTGTGGGGAGGGGAAGGGGAAGGAGCTTGTAAGCCGCTCTGAGACACCTTTGGGTAGTGAAGGCCCGGGTATAAACCCAATTTCTTCTTCTTCTTGATGCCGATTCTGCGCATTATCTCTGTTGAAGGTACCCTCCCTGCAACATAGGGCTACCACCAAAAACACTTTGTCTAGGAACATATGAACCTGCCTTGTACTGAAACAGACCACTGGTGTACCAAGGTCAGTACTGTCTAATCTGACTGGCAGTGGCTCTCCACTGGTTGCCAGGCCAAGCCTGGCACTGAGCAGGAGGGTTTTGGAGATGGGGAAATGAGGGGGGGGGGTATGACATTGCCAGTAGCACTATGTCACTAACGGGTCCAATCTGAAAGCAACAATGCGTAGGTCTAATTAAAACCATAGAGTTCCTGGCAATTCCTTGAGCTACCCATTTTCACTTTCTGGCTGTACCTGGAAGGAATACATTGGAATAGAGACCAGTGGGATTTTTAAAAATAATAATGTTGCAATGGTGACAGTCAGCAGGAGGCCTCCAGCCACACCAGGTGGCCTGGCAACTATTCTCCAGGGTCTCATGCAGAGGTCTTTCACATCACCTATTCCCGGATCTTGTTAACTAGAGATCCCAGGGATTCAACCTGGAACCTTCTGCATGCAAAGCAGATTCTCTACTGCTAAAACATGGAACCCAAAGAGTGATTGACACATGGAATCCAGTACCACAGGAGGTGGTGGCAGCTACAAGCATGGAGGGCTTCAAGAGGGAACTGGATAAACATATGGAGCAGAGGTCCATCAGTGGCTATTAACCACAAGGTGTAGATAGGAACTCTGAGTCTGGGGCAAGTGATGCTCTGTATTCTTGGTGCTTGGGGGTAGGGGCAACAGTGGGAGGGCTTCTAGTATCCTGGCCCCACTGCTGGACCTCCTGATGGCACCTGGTATTGCCTCCATTCATAGTGGGGATGCACTTACCCTTTAGCTCACCTCTCTTCCCTTTCCCCCCATCCATCACTGCTCTTTTTTCCTCTCCCTGAGTGCCCTTTCAGCATGTTGGCTGATCTGTGCACCATCTTTGCAAGCTCTCCCTCCAAGCCTATGTGGATGATTTGCTATACATCATCCCATCTCCTCGAGCCATCTCTTTCCCTCTATGCCTCTCATTTATGGCCCCCAACCAGTGGGGTCTTCTCCCTCCCCTTCTTTCTCCTAGGGGTTATGACCTGGCATCTACAGCTCTTTCCACACAAACTGAATTCAAATGCATTGTCCTGAGAGACAGTTTATCCACAGGAAGCTCATAAAATAAATGGGAGGGCTGGTGTCACTGGCATCCTTGGCAGGTCTATAACTTTTGTTTCTTTTTAGGATTTTGCCACAGGATCCCAAGGAAACCGCTGCGCACAGCCAGGTGGAGAAGGCAACCTCCCAGGTATATAATCCTCATTTCTTGGCTCACCCCCAACCTCTGCACAGGAAGATACTGTCCCCTTGCCAGCAATGGCTTGAGATTACCAGCGGACCCTGAGGTTTCCTTTCCCATTTCCCTAGAGCCTAAGCCCCACTGCACAGCCACCCCAGGACAGGAAGGTTGTGGTTCTACAGTCTTCACCTCTGTGGACTCCATCCTGAAATGGTTGCTGCCTCTCCCAGTTCACATCAGTAATTAAGCGATTCCCAGTTCCCATGAGATGACTGGGGAAGAACAGAACCTTGGCTGTGGTGGAGAGCAACCTCTGACCTGACACAAATCTGCCCAAAACACAGTACTCCAAGCCTTCAGCATTGACTGCCCATTCTATGGCATTGTGGAGGTTACCAAGACTTATCAGTGCCATTACAACATGCCCCGTTATTGGATGCGGGCAGAAACCTAATAATAAACTGTATTCCCAGTTCTTCTTTAGCTTACAGTAAAGCCAGTGCCTTTTCTAGCAAGGTATTAAACGCATCAAATGGTCGGAGCTGACTTTGAGTGTTGTCCACTACCCAAGGTGTTAACTGGGTCTGTGCCAGGACTAGAAAGATTGACAAACTTATAGCAATGGGCCTAACGAAACACATCCTTTAACTGGGGAAGCTGGGAAAGGGGAGTCAGTGGCAGCTGATCTCCATGGAAAATGTACAGTGGTACAAATCTATGTAGGGATCCACAATCAACATAATCAGTGCAATTTGCTTATTCTAACCTCGGGGGAAGGCATACATAAAATCTAAAGATACAGGGTCTTCACCTGTTGTGCTAGCCCAGCTTCAGAATTCTGTGTATATCAGCAAGCTGAAGGTTTGCTTAGCTCTCATAGTTCAGGCAGGCTGTTCTTTGTAACCATAAAGCAGTGCCTGTTCATTCATCTTTCATGTTATCTTAAGAAGGGCAAAAAATTGCTCTGGGGATAGGGGAGTACTCTCATGGTTACAACTCAGGTTCCAGGCAATTGGCTCCCTCCAAAGCCAGCTTTCCCCCCAGTTCAGGGTTTGGGGATCAGTTTTTCAGAGTTTGCCCCATGAGGAGGAAATATATGTTTGTGATGGGAATGCTTCCAAATATCCCATTAATTGCTCTACAAATGCATGACTGTTCTCAGTGTCCTGTGAGATCATATTTATTAGCTCCTGATCAGGAAAATATTAGGATGTTTGTCAATATCACACTAATTTTTTCCATTTGTATCTGTTTACTGGCAGCGATGTGCTTTCCAAGGCTAGTTTTTATGCGTAAGCATGTGTCCACTTACAAGTAGTTGTGACTCTAACATCAACTGTTCGTCTCATTTTGGGCAATTCTACATGGTGACGACACACTTTACCAAGTGCTTGTTTCTTGACCATAGGCAGGGAACTCCAACAGAGATTGCAAGAGCCACCAAGGAGCCAATGAAGACTGCAGGAATCCATCAGAAATAAAGGACCACTGTGTCATTCAGTCTACTGCTCCTAGCCTATTAAGGCCGGGGCTGGAAAATTCAATGGAAAAATGGATTGGGGTCTGGAGAAGCAGAAAGAACAGTCTGCTCCAGATGAGTTCTCTCATAAAACGGAGTCCTTTTATGGAAAGAGATGCCCAGGGTTCAGCTTCTATTAAAAAGAAGCTGGTGGAAGTACAAGGGGCAAACAGTGACTTGCAGGCACAGGTGGAAACAGAGCATCCAAGCAATGTATTTTCCACCCAAGAACTAGGTCCCCTGCTACCAGGACTTTGCCCTTATAGGAAGCCTGAGAGATCACATCAGGGGCCCACGGAAGGTGTCAGCCAGTGGAAACAACAGGACTTGGGGGTATTGATGTGGGAGCTTGGGGCTTTACAACAGAAGATGTCCCAGCAACAAAGGGAAAGCACAAGCATAAGACAAGCCCTTTCTGAGGAAAACAGGGCTCTGAAAGAAGAGCTGGCAAAACAGGAAGAGAAAATGGAAGGGAAGGAAAAACAGCAGCAGGAGCTCACCAAGGCCATAGGAGCCCTCAGAGAGGCAGAACGTAAGATTGCTAATCTGTCCAGTGAATGCCGGGAGGCTTGGGACAAGAAAGTTGCAGCTGAAAAGTCTCTAGAGGAGGCACATCAGCGGCTGAGTTCTCAGGAGGTAGAGAGAAGAAAGCACCTGGCGGACATTGAGGCCCAAGAACTGAGGCGGCGGCAACTGACATCTCGATGTCAAGGACTGCAGGAGAAACTGAAGATGTGTGAAGAGAGTCTGAAGAAATGGGAAGCTCAGGCAGTTGCCCTGCAAAACCAACATGGCCATCTGGAAACAGCAGAGGAACAGCCAGAAGAGCTGACTTGCAGACTAGCAGAAAAGGAAGAACAGTCAGCTATGCTGGAGAAGGGACTCCTAAGAGAGAAATTAGGGAGAAGTCTTGGTGAGATAGAGGCCCTTGAGAGGGAGAAGGAGACTCTTATTGAAACTCTGGTCTCTCAGGAACAGAGTCTGGTGTTTTCAAAACTTGAAATTCAGGATCTTCGGAAGGAGCTATCAGCATCTCAAGAGCTTCTTGTCACCCTTCAGAATTCTTTGATGGAGCAGGAGAAAGACTTGAGGAATAGGGACGTAATAGCTGAGAACTTGCAGGGAAACTTAAATGACCAATTAGCTGAGCTTCAGAAAGCCCTGGAGAAAAACACTGCACTGAAAGAGGAGTTGGAGGAAATGGTCAGCAAGAACTCTCAGCTGGAAGGACAAGTTGTTGAACAGCAAGTCAGATGGGAAAAAAATTTCCATGAACTGAGGAGCCAACTGGGAACTTTAGAAAAGAAGGCAAACAAACTGGAAGAGGAGAAGCAGAATCTCCAGGCCACACTACAACGAGCCCTTGAAGAAAAAGAGGCTTTGGAGAAGCAAGTTCAAAGCACTACTGCCACCATGGAGACACGGACCCATGAGGCCACACAGCTTAGAAATGCACTGGAGAAGCTGACAGCCACCAGCCAAATACTACAGAAAGCCTTGCAAGAGAACAATGAAATTGTGGTCTCAGACCTAAAACAGGAGTGTCTGAAGTTGGGAAACCAAGTGAAGGAACTGGAGCTTGACCAAATGAAAGCCACTAACATAGCAGAGATGCTAAGTATAGAGCTGGAACAGTGCTGGGAGTTGCCAACAGAAGACGTTGCTCAGCAGAAGGCACTGGCTTCTACTATCACTGTCCTGGATCTAGCATATGAAACCAGAGGTGAAGAAGTCAAGGCCCTAGCCAATGAGAGGAGCATTACAGAAAGAAATGGTCGTGGAATGGCAGAGTCACAGCAGGCAGAAAAAGCAGCTCAGATGGATGTACTGCAAAACTGGGGAAAAGCCATCATGAAGGACACCAGTACAAAGCCCAGAATGGAAATCCATGGGAAGGTAGGAGCCCATTGTTCCATAGGCAATATGTCAGAGGTAGCCAATAGCTGGGAAATAAGATGCAATTGATTCTGAACACATCTGCAGACCTGGCACCCCTTTTCTCCACAAGCCCAAACCAGAAAGGTCTCACGTCCTGTACCTAGGAGCCCTGGCCATTGTAGTTTTGTAAGGGTACCATAGAGATAACACAGATAATTTGGTATGTCCTCAGAGACAATGGCCAAAATTCTCTTGGTAGATTCCGGAACTGGCAAAAGAAGCATCACTTAAGCCTCTCCACCAGGGAAAGGAGAGTGTTGCTAGAAAGAATAATAATAATACTTGGCATTTATATAGCACTTTCGTCATTCAAATTACTTCCGACTTGTACAAATTACTTGTAATCCTTACAAAAGCCCAGTTACAGAGATCAGCACTGTTCCCATTTTGCAAATTAGGAGTTGAGGTTGAAAGTGGGTTACTAATAACTACACAGTGAGTTTATGGCAAAGATGAGATTTGAACCAGAGAGCTCTCAGAGTCTAGTTCATTCATTTGACCATCACCTTAGCTCCCAAAATAGGCCCACACCTCTGTGAAGGAATGAGCTGTGAGAGTCAAGCCCTGGAATCTAGTCTTTGTTAACATCTGGATTAGAGGCAAAATTAATACGGGAGCATACAATTCAACAAGGTCAGTTTCCCCTATTTTTAATTGGAATGCAAAAATTTAACTTTAAAATTTGAGTTTCAAATTCCAGATTGTGAACTCTGAATTTAGATGGAATCTAGTTTTTCCTGTTGATCACAAATTTTGGTCAAGGGGGTTCTAATGTTCAAAGTTTAGTGACAAAGTTTGAGCTTCAATGCCAAAAACCTGCCATTTAAAACTAAAAATGTTTTTTTAAAAAAACTTTTAATTTTTTAAATTTTTATACTGCATTAGCATTTCACAGCATTCATATCAAAAGCTCAGTGTTGCCTATAAAAACTCATGATCAGTCCTGGTAGTTGGCACAAATATGTACAAAAATATATTCTAATAACGGGGGGATTCCATGGAAGTGCATAACCAGAACTTCATCTATTCTGCACTCTTTTATTCCCACCTATATTTTGAGGAAATGCAGATTACTAAAGCAGAACACATTGTGCAAATTAAAATGTTATATCATCTTGCTGTGGAAAGTAATCAGACAGTTCACACAGCGGGGTCCCTGAAAGGTCTATAGTAGGATCAGCGCTGTTTAACATTCATAAATGATCTATAGGTAAAGGTAAAGGTTTCCCTTGCTTGAAAGCCAGTCAAATCCGACTCTAGGGTTGCGGTGCTCATCTCTGTTTCCAAGCCGAAGAGACAGCGCTGTCCGAAGAAGTTTCCGTGGTCATGCGGCCGGCATGACTAAACACCAAGGTGCACGGAACGCTGTTCCCTTCCCACCGAAGTGGTCCCTATTTATCTACTTAAATTTCTTGCTTTTGAACTGCTAGGTTGGCAGGAGCTGGAACCAGAGACGGGAGCTCACTCCGTCATGTGGTACTCGGGTCTCGAACTGCTGAACTACTGACCTTCCAGCCTGCAGTTCAGCGTCTTAACCACTTGAGCCACCGCGGCTCCTTAAATGATCTATAATCAACGCTAAATGATTTTGGATAGCGAAAATCCAAGCAGGTTGCAAAGAGCTTCAAGTAAGCCTCTCAAACCTGTGTGAACAACCAATAAAAACACAAATGGTCTGTGAATGATGTACAGGGCTAAACCATACATTATGTGTACCCACTTGCCAACACCTTTTCTGGTGCCCACCAAATGTTTTTATGAAGTGGAAAGGGCCAGGTAGGGCTTTTGCCCAGCAAGGCTTCCAGTCTCTTAAAAATGTGGCTTTGGCAGCAGTTGTGACCACAGCTGAAAAATCTTCGCTGTGTGACTTGAAGTAAAGCTATGGCGCTACTTTTGTGGTTGGCTCCGCCTCCTGCAGTAGCCATTTTGTGGCTGCACTCACCACTCTGTCAGAATTCCACAGCCTGCAGTTCAGCATCTTAACCACTTGAGCCACCGCAGCTCATAGGTAATGTTAAATAAACAAGGGGCAGCAGTAAAATTAGGCCAAGGCTAGGCACTGAAATAGACTGAAAGGGAAGGGACTGAAAATAAAGCTGCCAAGAGCATCATTCCTTTGTACAGATTTATAATGTGGCCACAGTTGAAATGCTATGTACAGTCTAGTTGCTTGAAAAGGCAGAGAACAGATCAGGGAGGATATGTGTGTCAATGGTTATTAGCTACAGCTTCCAAGTCCCCTGTTGGGGTGGGACATCCCCTGCTGCCATTGACCACTGTTGCCCTGAGCTGCAGCAGGAGAACAATTAAAAATCTGTGATGCCGGCGATCACGTCTTGTAAAAAAAACCCAGAATTGACATGAGGTAGCTCTAGGAGTTTCTGGGAAAGCTATTTTTACCAGAAGTGGCGATGTTGCTGCCGCTGGCATTGTAGCCTCCCCCCTATCTCTGCAGACGGGCCTCTGCCTGGCAACCCTATTAACTACCCATGATAGCCAAATGGAACCTCCATATTTAGAGTCAATATGCCTCTGAATGCCAACAGCTGGGGGAGAAGACAAAAGGCAGGGTGAAGATTCTGCTTCTTGGCATCCCACTCTGGGAAACAGGGTGTTAGACTAGATGGACCTTGGGTCCAATGCTCCCTCTAAGCTGTGGAGTCCTGTGAGCAAAAATTCTACTTTGCGAGCTACTGGCATTAAAGTTGTGAGCAAGCGATTTGGCCACTGCATCAGTTATTTTGCTCTGGAGCCCTCCTTCCTGAGCTAAGGCAAAAATGTGTGAACTGGAGGCTAAAAAACTGTGAGCTAGCTCACACTAACTCAGCTTAGAGGGAACACTGCTTGGGTCTGATCCAGCCAAGTTCTTAAGTTCTTTTTCTGAGCAGGGTCTGAAGTATTGCTGGAGGTGGGTGGGGGGGGGGGGGGGGAGAATTTGTGTTGAGCAACAGGCAGCTGTAGGCTGTGAAGCCTGGAAATCCAATGGCATTTTCTGAAGGTATGTTAATCATTAAATGTTTGCACCTCTGAAAGAGCTGCATCATCCTAGCCCTTGGTGATTTCTCCACCGCTGTAAACCTCTGATCTGCTGTGCCTTTTCCTTTCCTTGACTTCCCTCAGTGTCTAACTAGCCATTTGGACAAAATGGTGGATGGTGTTCAGAAGGCTAAGCAAATGCTGGTAGTCAAGGAGAAAGAAATGATGTGCCTCAAACAGCAGCTGAGCTGGTAAGTTCAGTAGCCTCCTCACTTAAACTCACCAAGGGAATTTGAATCAACAGCCTCTCTGTCACCTATCCTGTGCTCCTGTTTATATTATTTCCTGAAGCACCGTGGTGAAGGATCACATTATTATTATTAATTATAGCATAATTATATTATGCTATGCTATGCTGTAATATAACCTAATATAATATTATAACATACCGTAATTATCCTCTTTTACCTGCATAACAACCCTGTGAGGTACTGCCATGAACTGTGAGTTGTTATCCTCGGTACAGTGTGTCCGTTTGCCCTGACTTGGATAGTCCAGGCTTGCCCAGTCTCATCAGATCTCAGAAACTAAGCAGGGTTGGCCCAGTTAAATATTTGGTTGGGTGACAATCAATGCTTAGGCTTGCCAAGTCCCCCCGGGGGGGCGGGGAAACCCCCGCCCCAGAGGCCTGTTCCCCGCCGGCGGCGGATCGGACCCCGGGGGGAACCCCACCCCCAAAGCACGCAACGTGCACATCACCCGGAAGTGACGCGACCATGCTGGGCACGCTGGGGGCGGGGCCACGGTCATCCGAGGGAAAACTCTATAATTTTCCCTCGGATGGTCGTGGCCCCGCCCCCAGCATGCCCGGCGTGGTCACGTCACTTCCGTGTGACGGGGTTGTGGCGTGCGCGTGTGCACTCCCGAAGCAGAGCTGGAGTCCCCCGCTCCAGCGCCAATCTGACTTGGGAACCCTATCAATGCTCCATCTAAGCTGTGGAGTCTTATGAGCAAAAATTCTACTTTGTGAGCTCCTGGCATTAAAGTTGTGAGTGAGCAATTTGGCTACTGAGTAAATCTGGAGCTAAGATAAAAATGTGTGAGTTGGAGGCTAAAAAACTGAGCTAGCTCATACTAACTCAGCTTAGAGAAAGCACTGGTGACCCTCAAGGAATATCAGAGTCACTACACAGAGACAGGCAATGGCAAACTGCCTCATGCCTTGAAATCCTAGAGGGTCACCATAAGTTGGCTGCAACTTGAAAGCAAAAGTTTTTTGTTTTTTTTAAAGATGGTGTCAGTGAATATTGGTGAAATATTGGTGAAATTAGTGCACACTAATTGATTCTTGAGCATATATTAAAGATGGTGTCAGTGAATATTGGTGAAAGGAGGGGCACACTAATTGATTCTTGAGCATATAAAGTTCGACTTTACTATCTGTAATTGGGCAAATCCTGGCACATGTACAGTTCTAACACTTTGTCAGACTCCTGCAGCAATCAGTTCTGAACAGTTTTCAATCAAAGAAGTAAAGTTTATTGAGACACTGAGAGTATGCCGATATCTTAACTATTTCATGTTAGAACTGAAGAAAAGCACACACAGCAAAAAGATATACATTATTCAAGGAGGTCCACTGATAGCCCAGGGCCAATCAGGGTTCAGGTAGAAGCCCGCCAAAATAATGGGCTATTTTCCCCAAGAGAAAGACCACACCAGGCACTAAAGGTCATACAGAGATAATAGAAACACAGGAGACACAGGAGAAATGAAACTTGACATTCCAGAGTCATCCCCACTCCCATGGCAGCCAGGGCTTAAGAAAGGCCTCGCTGACACCATCATGATGAATAACAGTGATCACATAGGTCTAAGAGAAACTCCAGAAAAGCCACAGAGTTCAGAGGTGTCTCATGATATAAACTTAAAAGGAAATGGTTATATGATTATTAAGCACTTTACTTGAGCATTTTGGGAGGTGTAATGGGGGAGGGTGTATTTCCTAACAGAGCGTTCTTAGCCCTTCCCTGAACTACAGTTCCTAAGAATCTTTGAATGAAGCCCTGATAGTTAAAATGATATAAACCAGGACTACCTCTGTAATGTTGATAAGACTTCAAAAATTCCTCTTTCTGCTGCTTAGGTCTCAACAGGACAAGCAAAAGGAGCGACTGCTGCTGAAGGAAATCCAACAAGAATTGCAGGAAAAGGAAAATAAATACCAAAAGAAGCTGTCCGAACAGGAGGAATTAATCTGCAGCTTGAAGGGAAGGCTGGTGGAGCTACTGCGGTGAATAACGGGAGTCTGAGGGGAGCTGGGGGAAAAGAGGAGCAGCATCCTTCTGTAAGGGTGACTTTGAAAATGTGGCATTTGGAGAACACAAAACCCAAAGCACACGAAGTATGGGAGTGTCCATCAAGAGTCACATATTCCTAGTTGGGCCCCACAATCCCAACCCACCTCTCTCTGCTATTCCTGCCGTGGGGTCCTCAGATGTATCTGATTGACAACATGTAGTTGTAGAGCTGGTGCAATTAGCTATATGTTTGATCAATTTGGTAGCCATTGAGAAAATGAAACTATGTTAGGAAAGATTTACATTCACCTTCCTTAAAGGTTTTTAATAAATGGATTTAAACCCTAGCAAGTTCTGAATCACTGCCAAAAAAAAAAAAAAAGAGTGGCTACACTTGGGTGTATTTCTGGGATCCCAAGAGGAAGGAGGATGCCTGGCTTTGTTTCAGGCTAGTCCACTGTAACTCTCTGTCAAACAAAAAAGGGAGAGAATCGTGATTGATGGGTTGCTCTCTGCTTCCCCTTGTCTTCCTCAGGGAGAAGGATGCCCTGTGGCAGAAGACTGAAGGCCTCACCTCCTCCATGGCGGGCTCAGCTCCTCAGATCTCAGGAGTGTGTGCTCACTGCAAAAAGGATTTCAGGCTCACGTCACGCCGATACCAGTGCAGGTGATGAGGCCAGTAGTTTGGTTGATGGTAGGAAGAACTGAAAGGGGTAGATGTCTTTGGGGAGACTAGAGTGGGAGGCATGGCAGAACAGCTCTGCTGACCCATTAGAGATGGTCCATTCAGCTCTCCGAGGCATCTAAGCACCTGGTGACTGTCCCACGTCTCTGCTCAGTGATGTGCCACTCTCCCGGCTTGCCTAACTCTCAGAGGAGTTTTTCTTTCTCACTGGTTCTTTTAGGCATTATCTGCCAAGAGATCTAGTATTCTCAGCTTCCTGTCCCATCTTGCTGTTCTAGGGCTCCTCCTAATGCTTGTTTCTCCCACTACCCAGCAACCGGTTAGCATGGGGATGGCTTACTGCACTTACACACTCCTGGGGAAATTTAGCAACTGACTGCCTCCATTCCCCTGATGCCCATTTTAAATAGCATGTTTAAATGCTGGGGTTCTATGTGGTATGGAGAACAACTACCAGCATTCAAATTAGTAAAGAATTTGTTAAAAGTAAAAAGTCCACATATGTACTCTTTGCACAGCAATAGACTGAGAAAGAAATGCAAAAGAAAGGCGCAAACACAAAATTCCCATCCTTCCCTCTATACATGCCCCAGCTGATCGTAATCTAAGGCAGGCTCTTTAATTTAGAAGTTACAGTTCCCTGAGAGCTTCATATCACCTTAGAGTCTTTGTCCAGGAATCCAGCCCTTTGTCTGCTCCATATGGCAACGGTGGCCTTCATTATGGAGCTCAGGTGTGAGAACCCCCTCCTTCAGATGTGTTTAGCCAGAACAGACCCACCAAAATAGACCTCTTCCCCCCAGTGCCAAGGGATTCCTCTCCCTTCCCTTGTGAATCAAAGAATCCTTTTCTTGGGCAAACAGGAGAATCATTTGCCACTAATGAGCAGGTCTGTCCATGTTCTGCCAACAATGGAGCCAGGTGGCTTGGGTTCTAGCAAAAAGACAGGTTTAGCAAGGCAAGGAGTAGTCCCATGGCTGGATTTGCCAAAGGAGCAGGGGAACTGTCCAGCCAGGGCAAAAAGCAAGATTGCTGAAGCAATGGAGGAGCTGTCCAGTTAGGGCTGAAATATAAGACGGATCTGTGCCGAAGGAATTTGCAGCAGAAAAATTGAGGCAACTTTATAGCTAGCCCTGTGGCTCCCTCTTCCTTGTGCAAAACTGTTGAAAAGGTAGCCTCATGCACTCTACCTTCTGATATGGCTTAAGCCTAGGCTTTTTACCTTTTTTGTTCTGGGAGTATTGATAGTGATCACAGGAGATCCTGAGCTGGGAAGTTATTCCTTTACATCTGTTAATGAGCATACTTCAGACTCCAAAGTTTCAGCAGAGTCTGCTGATGCACTTTCTGGACAAGGTTCTCAGACAGCTGTTAGGGGATGTTAGCTCTTCCCCCTGAGGTTTTGGGTCTTGTAGAGCATCACCACTGGACTTGGATGAGGGAAGGCAAAACTGTTGCCCTGAACCAACTTGCTTCACCTGGGTTCTCAGTCCTCCACCAGTCTTGGACTAATGGGCATGGGTGTGTGGCACTGCTTATCTGAGAATCTTTTTTCCTTTAATGCGCTCCCCATCCCAAAAATTCCTGGCATTGAATGTGTTGGCTATCTGGGTGGTGTACCGACCACGTAATAATAATAATAATAATAATAATAATAATAATAATAATAATAATAATAATAATTCGCCAGCAGAAAGCCTGCCTGGCCTGCTGGATGCTGTGTTGGGCAAGGAGCTGGAGCACTGCAGACTGTTGGTTCTGGGCAGGGGTCATTTCCTGTGGGAGCACACAGGAGCGGAGCTCCAGCAGTAAGGAGCCCAGGGGGCGGGCACATGCAACAAGCCCTGCCCCCTGCTCCCAGGAGCCCTCAGTCAGAGCAAAAAGCAGCCAGGTAAGTTGCAGACCCCACCCACCCGGCCCGCCTTCAGGTACAAGCTCTCCCTCCTCTGTGAGGGCAGATCTGCGTGTCCCCCCCCCAATAGCTAGCAATCCAAAACAGTCCAGTGGAGCCTGAGCGGTGGGTGTTGTCTCCTGACACACTTCCGGTGATTTCAGGGGGTGTGGCATATGCAAATAAGTTATGCTAATAAGTTATGCTAATGAGCTCCTGCACCTCTTTTTCTATGAAATGACCCCTGGTTCTGGGAGACCTTAATGTCCATGTCGATGATGCGGCATACTCCCAGGCCAGAGACCTAGTGTCATCCATGGAGGCACTGGGACTCTCCCAATTTATATCGACCCCCACACATCAAGCAGGGCACATGCTGGATTTGATTTTTGGGGATGGGGATAAATGTTGATCTGGAAGCTGCCAAGACAGTTTCATAGTCAGATCACTTTGCCTTAAAGGACCAGCTGAGCATACCAAACTGTTTGGGCAGCGAGTGGATTTATGCTCACCCGTGGAGCCTAATGGACCCTAAGTGGCTTCAGGAAGCTCTGTGGGAACCGATACCACCTGGCACCTCATTGGATGTGTGCTGGTGGAGGACTGGCATTCTCCTTTGCCATCAGTGAGATTGCTCTCCAGTGCCCTCGCCCCCCTCGGGCCAAACTAGCTCTGTGGTATACCCAGGAGCTATGGAGGACTCAGCGCCCCTATTTCCTCCAGAGGAAATTGACTCACAGTCGTGTGATCACATATCCCTTTGTGCTGTAGGCTCAATCCATCACTGTGTGATCAGTGGTGTTTTTTCCCCCTTTTGTTTCCCATGCACATAAACGAGGAATCGAACCTCCGTGCGGAGGGTTCCCCATGGAGTATGCGGTTATGCACATACTGCTAAGCGAGGTGAAAAAATAGTACCGAGTCAGGATGGAGCAGGCTTGAGAGATCAGACTAGGGAAACTCCATCTGTGGCCCATCGGCAAGTGTTAGGACTGGACTTTCCCCAGTGTCCTTTAACTCAATTTCTGCAGTGGGGCAGCACAGGTTGCCGATGACTGCAAGACCTTTCCCAGATGTTACTGTCTGACTGTGCCCTTTAAATCCGTCAGGCATTCACAGCTATGTCAGATCTAAAGGCATGTCTGACGGCAGCCTGTCTGTGCTGCTTCAGGCAGGGTTCTGGGAGAATTCCAGGTCCCACCTTCAGGCTGGTGGGACCTGGAATTCTCCCAGAATCCCGACTGGTATCCCAACTACAGAGATCAATTCCACAGAGGATTCCCCATACACACACACTGCTGTCAAATCACAGTGAACTTATGGCGACCCGTAGGGTTTTCAAGGCAACAGACATTCAGAGGTGGTTTCTCAATTGCCTGCCTCCATGTAGCGATCCTGTATTCCTTGGTGGTCTCCCATCCAAATGCTAACCAGGGCTGACCCTGCTTAGTTTCCAGAATCTGATGAGATCAGGCTAGCCTGGGGAAAATGGCATACCATAGGAGAAACCAGGGGTCATTTCCTGCGGGAGCGCACATGAGCAGAGCTCCGGCAGTAAGAAGCCCAGGGGGTGGGCACATGCAACAAGCCCCACCCCCTGCTCCCAGCAGCCCTCAGTCAGACCATGAGGAGCAAGAAGCAGTCAGGTAAGATGCAGAGCCCCTCCCCCACTTCAGGTACAAGCTCTCCCTCCTCTGTGAGAGCAGATCTGCACGTTCCCCGCCACCCATAGCTAGCAATCCAGAACAGTCCAGTGGCACCTTTAAGACCAAGTTTTATTCAGGTACAAGCTCTCCCTCCTCTGCGAGGACAGATCTGCACGTCCCCCCCCCAGTAGCTAGCAATCCAAAACAGTCCTGTGGAGCCTGAGCGGTGGGTGTTGCCTTCTGACACACTTCCGGTGATGTCAGGGGTGTGTGGCATATGCAAATAAGTTATGCTAATGAGTTATGCTAATGAGCTCCTGCACCTCTTTTTCTACGAAATGACCCCTGGGAGAAACTAACATCCTACAGTGACCTCACATCTCTACCGAGCTCCTTCTGTTCCCCCAAACTCCACCTTCCACAGGCACTGCCCCCAAAACTCCAGGAGTTCCCAAAGCCAGAGCTGACAACCCTGTCTTCAAGGAGGAGGTGCGCAACTGACCTTAGATGATTTCCTAACAGCATGCATGCCTGCAGGATTTTTGCTTATATATGTTGAGGGATGATTCTGTCATTTGTTTCAGATCAGATGGCTGAATAAGTTATAGTGTGCTATCTCTGTCTTTGCAGGTTATGCCGCAGCACCGTGTGCCATGCTTGCTCTGTGAGCAGTGGGCACAGGGAGCACTGCTGCCTTCCATGCTACCAGGAGAGAAACAGCCAAGGCACCTGACCACAGATTTTAACAAGCTGTCGTGTTCCCCCATCTGTGAGTCACCCAGTGAAGAGACCCCCCCTCCCCAAATACCACCTGGGAATGGACTTGGCTTCATTTGGGGCAGGCATGGTTGCGGGTGAACCAAGAAGGTCACATAGTAGTAATCAGGGATGTGGAATGAAGCTAAGTGACAAATTAAAAATTAAATTGAAATCTAGAATGATCCTCCTGAATATCAAGGTCATTCGAGTAGCATTTTCACTCAGGCTACACTACTAGCTGAAATTTTAGCTGATGTTTCTATGAGCAATGTAGCCAGGCTTCCAGATGCTGCCCAAATCCACGGTCTTGCCATTCGTGTTTAGCCCTTACAGCTAAACATTTTTCAGGCCTCATTTAAGAGACTTAATGCACTGATAGAGACCAGTTGGCTAGGAGGAAAGCATGTTTTCTTTCCAGTGTAAGTTGCAAAGACCCATTGGTAGCTACTATAGATGCTTGGGGAGGCAGGTGTATGTTATGTGTACTACCCAACTGAACTGATTTCTTCCTGTATAGAATGTGAGCAGCACATGCATAAAGTGGCAAAGACTGAGTGTGAAAAGGAGCCGCTTCATAAGAACCCTCCTATTATGTTCCATGTATGCTTATCTGCAGCAGCCATAGCAGAAAGGGAGAGGAACTGTGCCAGTCAAAATTTACACAGATCCACTTCCTAAGCTACACCAGGGAAGAATACCCACTTCCTTAGCCAGACCATGGAAGGCCCCGGTCACACGGGAGGTTTTGGCCCGGAAGAGGGACGAATCGGGGACGCAGCAAACTGGCGCGAGCACACCGCAACATCTGGGAATTGGCGTGCACCCATCCCCGATCCGTCCCTTCAGGCCGGTAATGTGGATGAAAAAAGAACCTGTTAAAGAGCAGGACTTACCTGCAACGCCGCAGCAAGCGTGGCCGCCAGATCGCCAGAGCGCCCGTCTTCAGGAGCAATCCAGGCTCCCGGCCGAACTGCGCATGCGCACACATGCACAGTTCGGCTGCCTCGCTCTCCCTTCAGTGGCTTCCCCCCGGCATCTGATCATGCCGGGGAGCAACTGCGCGGCGGCTCAGGGGATCTATGTGATCCCGCCGCCACGTGTCTCTTTTGGTGCGGCTCTAAAAAGCTGCACTTCGGCCTTGCTTTCTCCCCCCCGTGTGGCAGGGGCCGAAGAATACCAAAGCTGGTACAAACCTCAAGACCATTTAGAATATTGTGGGGATGGAGGATGATGGAAGAGCTGGTCACTGTTATCCTACCATTTCTGTGGACTTTATGTTTATTATCAAGAACTGGAGAGAGACCTTTTGTAAACTGTGGATCATAATTTAATCATATAATTGCTATGATAAATGACAGTACTGGCTCCGATCACACGCACAATTAGCCGTGCGAGAGGGACGAATACCGGGTGGATTTAAGTGGCGCGATCACATGGACACATCTGGAAAGCGTCGCGCACCTGCCCCCAACCCCTACCGCCTGGCCAAAGCTGCAGAGTAAAAAAGTATCTCGGAAAGACCAGTAGCAAATTGTTTGCAACGGGTCGCAGATGGACTGTCTTCGTCTGATCGCTCCAGCGTGCTCCTACTGCCTCCTCGTTGAAGTGTGCCGACAGAAAAAAACCCGGGTTCACTGGCATTGGGTCTGATCACTGTAGTGGTGCGTCAAATTGCGATGGTGCAAATAGCCTCCCCCCCCCCCCGGCGTTATCTGGTACGTGTGACCGCAGCCATTGTTATTTTATCAGAAAGTTAGTTATGAAAATAAATATTTGGGTATGTATGAAAATCATTTGTTTGGCTTCTGTTTGGTTCTTTCCTTGTCTTTTTTATAAAATAAAACTTCTTAAAGTATTTTTTTTGTTTTTCCAACTAGCACATTAACCAAGAAATCCATAGCAGTATTTTATTTTTTATATATTCTGGCTGCTGTCAATGATAGTGTCAAGATGTCATTTAACTAATCTGGAGAAAGGATGATGGCTCACAATAGCTGTTGAATATGAAATGTAGCAGGGCCCTTGCTTCCCTCCTCTGGTTCTGGCTTCCGGCTGGCGAGAAAAGACGCTCAAGCTGTTTCTCCATTGGACCAGGACAGTATTATCTAATTCTTTTTCCCCCCTATTATTTTTCAATTTATAGTTGTTGTTGTTGTTGTTGTTGTTGTTATTATTATTATTAAAATTTCCACCATAACTGTACAACCGTATCATACAAAACTCAACCATTTCCCCCCTATTTATAACTTAATCAGTTATTTTAGTTTATTTTGCCTTGTCAGGAGCTGGCTGGTGAATTGTTGCGGTGGCTCAAGTGGTTAAGACGCTGAACTGCAGGCTGTGGAAGGTCGGTAGTTCAGCAGTTCCGAGACCTGAGTGTGTCGCATGTCGGAGTGAGCTCCTGTCTCTAGTTCCAGCTCCTGCCAACCTAGCAGTTCGAAAGCAAGAAATTGCAAGTAGATAAATAGGTACCACTTCGGTGGGAAGGTAACAGCGTTCCGTGTGCCTTGGTGTTTAGTCATGCCAGCCACATGACCACGGAAACATCTTTGGACAGCGCTGGCTCTTCAGCTTTGAAATGGAGATGAGCACCGCAACCCTAGAGTCGGACTCGACTGGCTTTCAAGCAAGGGAACCTTTACCTTTTTTCCCTCCTGAACGTTCAAATTCTCCTGAAATGAACTTTTAATGATTCTCTATTTGAAGCAAGGGCTCTATTAGCTAAGTAAACTTTATGCTTGCTGCTGCTCCTGTTTTCTGATCTTAAGATGTAATAGCTTATCTGTGGAGTGCGAAATGACTCAGCAGCCGAACAACTTCCCAGAGAGAGAGAAAGGGGCAGGGAAATGCCCTAGAGAGCTTGAAGACAGGGAGGAATTGGTCTGTTTGCCTCTGACCAAGCAAACAAAAATTATGGAATTCTTCCCTGATAAAAGAAAGGATGTTTTTAATATCCCAGTTTCAAACTCCTTCTCCCTGTTGGCAGAGAGGGACGATGATGACTTTATGAGGATGGAAGTCTGTGATAAACGGTTGCCTAATCTTCTAAATAAGAATACTTCTGACTCAGAGAGGTTTGCCAAGGATTCAACTCCTAACACCCAGTTGAAAGCTACCTTTAAAAAAGGAGAAGGTGCCTCCTCTGACATACTATCTGAACAAGCTGCGTTGCTGGATTTAATTGCCAGAACTGTGTCTTGTGTTTTTAAATCTCTAGAGACCATACATGGCCTCATGAAGAAAATTTTTCTTCCTGCACCCTCAAAATACAAAGATAAGGCATCAAATGATGAATGGAACCTCCATGATTTTAGAGTCCCAGCGTCTCTGCATCTAACTTCACAGGCTGTCTATCAAGCTGGAAACAAATCACAAAAAGGAGCTTCACATCCCATAGCCCCTCTCTCTGCAGGAGTCCAAAATATGTTTAACTATCTGTCCTTCCAGAGGCCAGGTAATCAATTGGTCTACTAAGAACTGTGTCAGGAGACATCTATCTACTCTCTTAGGGCAGTGTAGCATGCAAGCCAGGGTTTACTGTTCTGTCTTAATGTTCAAGGAGATACAGAAGTAGTGCCTTTATGAGGGCACAAGGGCAGGATATAATTTTTTGCAGGCTGGGGAATAGACTCAAGCAGAAAAACTCTAACATAAGTTTCACCAGATCTTTACTGTTCTCAGCCAAATAAATTAAAACACTTTAAGGCGAATGGTATACTTAGGTGGAGGTAGGGTTGCCCCACCCCCAAACTCAATGACAACACCGGTAGTGACACCATCATGCTGGAGCCGTTGCATGGCAATGTTCTTGCATTTGTGGGGAACTCTATGGTTGCCATAGAGTTTTTACCCCAAACACTAGAGTATTGCTGTGCAACAGCCCTAGCATGATGATGTTACTACTGGTGACATCGTTGCATCGGCAGTGTCTCCATGGGACACTGCTGTTTGTGCGTCAGGCTTTCCCTGCCAGCCAACTGGCCAGCAGTGGATTGGGGCCCAAAAAATAGAAGCGTCCCGGCAAGAAGCCAGTCACTCTCTCTCTCTCGGCTTAACCAGCTTACACAGGGTTGTGAATACCTCTTGAAGACACAATGTGACGCTACAATGGAGACACCGCATACTGTTGTACAATTGTACATTTGGTGAAGGAAAGGCAGGATAAAAATGTGCTAAATGAATAAACTATCTCTTGGCCACCATTCCATTAAATTCCAGTATCTTTGCCTGTTTGGCCTAGTTGTATATATGATGGCCAGTGTTCCCTCTAAGCTGAGTTAGTGTGAGCTAGCTCACACGTTTTTTAGCCTCCGGCTCACCCATTTTTGCCTTAGCTCAAGAAGGATGGCTCCAGAGCAAACTCATTGATGCAGCAGCCAAATCGCTCACTCACAACTTTAATGCCAGCATCTCACAAAGTAGAATTTTTGCTCACAAGACTCCACAGCTTAGAGGGAACACTGATGATGGCTGGTTGTCCTCCCAAGTTTCCCATTGTTGTCCTCCCAAGTTTCCCATTTCAGGTCTTCACAATATATCTATGATTTACATTCAAGGCCTTCACTGAAAAGCGAATGTCCATCCTTAGGCTTATCTGAATACTTGACAGTGGGTCTGTGCTTAAAATACCTGTTATTCTCAACTGATTTGCTAGTTCCGTAAGGTAATTCACATTGGCCTGACTGATGGAAAAACCTAAGTCCTGATACAGGAACACTAATCTCGTTGGTTCTCTTATCTTAAACAAATGTTCTTTTTCTTTCTTACATTAAGGCCAGTTCAGTTTCATTTGTCACTACAATGTGGATTAAAAAGCAGAGGGGTGCACAACAGCACAATTCTCTTCAGTGGTTTAAAACATAAATACAGGGTAAGGAACTAGACTGGTAGTTGGTGGCCCATGGGCCAGGTCTGGCCTATTAAATTCACCCATTGATCATACATGCTGTTCTAGAAGATAAAAGTCAGTTTTGGGCTATAAGTGGTTTTGTTGTTGTTGTTGTTGTTGTTTTGTAAAGCTAGGTCAAGAGGG